ACCATACTTCCCATTTAAGAGGTAGAAAGGCTCTATACTGTACTTTGAAACTCTTTACCACTCAAATATCCTTATTCTAGTTTATTTGCATATATTACTGATGACATACTAGAAATCAGTATTACTCAGTAAAAATTAATCTTAAGTAAACACTTAGAAGTATTTTTATTTTCAATACATATTAAATATAAATAGTTACTTCACAAACGTCAATTAAATAGCTCTTTCTTTGAAATAGTTGTGTAGGGTAAGCTGAATGTGAGTTTTATTTCCCTTGGGTTTATTTATTTATTTATTTCTATTAAAAATTGATTAAACAGTCTCCAAATAAATGAAGCTTAATGACCATGAGCGAATGATGTAGGTTTAAATTAACATCTGTATAAGAATTATGATATTCACAAGACAGTAAACACAAGCACTTCTTTTTCTCCTCAGATGAACTTACTTTTTGCCAGCATTAATAATGTCAAGAAACAATCAAAGAGAAAACATTTAATCTTGAAAATTTTGACCATTGAAATTTGAGATTAAATTATCCTCTTTTTTCTAGTATAGAACAAAAGTTTTTCAGGCCTTTACTGATTAAGTTACTCTACAGAATATTCAGGCTGTTTTTCTCTTTATTTGGTGACAAAAATATGTGTGCAAAAGGGTAATTTATTATTGGATATTGTTACTATATAAATATAGGGGTGGTAAGCAAATTCAGCTGAGAGACATGTGAAAAGGTAAAATGAGGCATATTATGAATTTGAAGAGTTTATTTGAGCAAAAATCTATTTGAATTGGGCCATGCAAAACTAGAAGTGGGTAGGAGTGCTCCAGGATTGGTGCTTGGGTAAAATCTTATAGAGAAAAGACAAGCCAAGTAAAGAAATTATTGAATGGCTGTAGCTTAAAGCCTAATTGACTGTTTGTGATCGGCTGTCCTTAGCTTGTTGATATAGTAACCTTGAGGCATTTACAGGTTTAGATTTTGCTTTGCTTAGGTAGGTCGTGGTGGCATTAGATCCTCGTTGGTCTAATGGCCTCCATGTTTGGTGAATTTACCAGGTAGTATGTACATTGGATGATGATTATGCGTTTGATTATATAAATTTAAGATCAGAGATTTCAGCTTTCATGCATTGCCAGACACATTGTGTTAATCAATGTTACTCTCCCAGCATATAGACTTGACATGCTATTTTTCAGATAGTATGTAGACGAAGAGAAACTAATTCCTAATTCTGAATAACTTGGAAAATTTTGTTCCTATTTCCAATGTGGTTGTGTACCACTAAGTACCATGGACTATTTTTGCTCATTTCTTTATGGAAAATGGAGACCATAATGATTAAACACGGTCAGCTTCCACCTTTTGAGTATTGAAGTCACACCACTCAGTTGTAAATCTAGTCTTTCGCGGCATGGTAGAGGGTTTTTATTTCAGCCTTAGATTGCCCTTAATAAAATTGCTCCTGCCTGGCTCTTTCTGTGTGCACAAGGGAAGACATAGAAAGAAATGTGTCACAAATAGTTAAATTTTTTTACTAAAAAGTACATAAACTTAGGATCCCACAAATTGTTAATCTCAGTTCTGTAGTATCTTGAACACATGCCTAGGGCTCAAAGGACACTAACAGAATGAACCTTGGGACAATTGAATTCTCCCCCCATCCCCCACAACTATTTTGAATATAATAATAATCTGATATTTTATGGTGACTAGCTATTTCACCTCTTTACCTCCTTGTGGCCTCTCTGCTCTTATAATTCTCTTTTTGTTTTCTCTTCCTCTTTTGTTCTTAACAGTTCCCTATAAATAAAAGCTGCTGTCATGGTCATTGCCTTTTTTTTTTTTTTTACTGTGCCATTATTTTCTCATCTTGTGTTCCTTATTTTATATGAACTACATTCTAGACCAGGGGTCCTCAAACTACGGCCCGCGGGCCACATGCAAATACAAATATTGTATTTGTTCCTGTTTTGTTTTTGTTTTTACTTCAAAATAAGATATGTGCAGTGTGCATAGGAATTTGTTCATAGTTTTTTTTTAAACTATAGTCCGGCCCTCCAACGGTCTGAGGGACAGTGAACTGTCCCCCTGTTTAAAAAGTTTGAGGACCCTTGTTCTAGACAGAGGAAGAATTTTAAAAATAAAGTTTTTATTTATTTATTTATTTTTTGGGTCTTGTCCAGAGTAAAAATAAAGTTTTTAACAATACTGTCTTTTCTGTTGTATTCCAATGGCTTAGTCACGTTGTTTCAGGAAAAAATATAATTAATAATGCTATGTGTCATGCAAATGTTAAGCTATCCAAAGGCAGTACAGTATATTATTTTATTCTTTTAGTAAAATAGGAGATATTCCTATTTTAGAAATTAAGGAACTTTGATTTTCAGAGGTTAACTTAATTTTCCAAGGTTCACAAAGCTTATTAGTGGTTGACCTAAGAATAGACAGATCCTGACTCTTAGTTATTAAATATGCTACAAGTAATTATTAGATATCTTAGATTTAAACATTTCCTAAAGATATTCTCCAGCCCATTAAGTATAAAAACTAAAACCTTTTCCATGATAATCTTCCAGAAAAAATTTTTACATTTTTCTTAAAAAGTGTACTGGGATCTCTGATAGCTTTGTTTGGTTATAATTAACATAGGAAACATAATATTTAGTATTTAATGAATATGAAATTATAGGACCAGTATTGGTATTTTCATGTGTCCTGATGAGTTATTACATATTCCTGTACCTTTTCTATTAATACCCGAGGCACATTATACCGTGGTTGTTGGACATGACCTGAATTAGAATAGTTGATTATTATTTTAGCATCAAATATGGACTTAATAGCTTGCAAGTCTATCCAGTTTTTATCATCAGGAACTATCAACTCAGTAATACATACATGAACAAACTTTATAACCTTGTGGGCTCTTGGACTTTGACCTTGAAGCCTTTCAAAAATACGTTGATTTTATTTTCTAAAGATTTTTAGCAATTCCAAGACTCGATTCGGGAGTTGAAAGCGAATTTTTCAAAATGCTCTCATAATTGCTACCATCCTTCTTTGGTTTTATTGTGCTCTATTCTGGGAATTAGTCTTTAGTTGCTCTGCCAATTTTTGTTTAGTACAGAGCAGTGCATTGTTTTGCCCCTGTCTTATTCCTCCTCTTATTGTTGCTGGTGGAAGGGGGTCCTTGCGCTGTCACGAGGAAAGCATTTTGGAGGACCTACAAGAGAAGATGAGGTCTGGTGGCAAAATTCATTCAGGAAGCAAAATTAAAGAAGTTCCCCAATGTCCTATATCCATCCCTCTCGCTGTGGAAAAATCAGAGCCAGAAAGAGCCAATGTCCAGAGATTCTGTTCAGTGTTAAAACTTAGTTCAGTGGAGCAGCTGGCTGACTTAGCTTGTGTTCCTGCTCCAATCCATTGCTTTGCGGCTGTACCGGGGCTCCTGCTGGAGCCTGGGTGTGGGGTCTGCAGGGCCAGTGGCCACGCGGCTTCTAGGGCCATGCGGCTATGGAGAGAGAACATGAGTGGACAGGGCAAGTTCAGGTCTCAAGCCAGGGAACAGAGAGTTCTTTGTCCACCTGGAATTTTATATTCTCTGGCTTGGGAGGAACCAGGAGCTCTTTCAAAATAGCCAATCAGCTTCCCAAACTGCTGCGGGCTTCTCGTGGGGTCCATCCCTAGCCAATGATCTTTTCCCCAGGTTAGACTGACAGGCCTCTATGGTCCAGCACCTCCCCCTGCCCCATTTTGACTTTCTCGCTCATGTTCTTACCTCTCCCTCTGCTTTCCCCTGGCCCCCTACACAATCTGGCACCGGTTGTGGGGGAGGGGAGGGTGTTAATCCCCTTGGAGGGGCTATGCTGAGGTTCCTTGGGGTGTGAAGTTGTAGCTTCCTGGTGAAGCAAACCACCCTCTGCTTCCCAGCTGAGTATGCTCAACAATGTCTGACTCTGCCTTTGCTTCCTTTCCCACCAATAATTAGCTGAGGAAGGGAACAGGTTAATGTTCTCACAGATATTACTGTGTATAAGCAAGAAAGCAAACATAAAACTACAACACAGAACTCTTGTGATAGGGAATTGAA